TGGTAATTTAATATTGGGTTTTAATTTAAAGTATAATTGTATTAAAAAACCCACAATGAAATCTTTTAAAGGTTATATGGGTTCACCTTTAAGAGAGAGTCCCAATATGTACACTGGACTGTGATAAAATGTAAAAAACAAAAATAAATTAGAAGTGATACAAGAATTAAAATAAGTGAAATATTAGCAAAAAAATGCTTAAAGTAACCAGTAAATAGAACATAATTTTAATTCATTTACATGCAGTCAGTAGAACCTGGCAAGGAGCTGAGCTGCTCAGCTCCAAGCCTGGTAGCTAAGCTTTTATCCCACAGTGTGAGGTGGCTTTTATGTCATGATTCCAAGAAGAAAACAAAGACGGATAATTATTTGAACTACAAAGGAGACAATTGAATCACCCCTGCTGTTGCTGAACTGGGGTTTAATGTTAGATATGAAGGATACATTACATTTCTATCATTTTTCATAGGATTTGATGATTTTAAGCAGGAAGAAGACTCCCACGTGCCATCCTACTGCAATTCTGCCTTTCATTACTGTTCAGACAAGGATGTTTTAGACCGAATACTGTCCCATCTTGTCTTAGTCAGGGACTTTACCCCTTGATGCAACAGGAGAGAGAGAGAAATCCAGGGTGACTTTTTTTTACTGGCATTCTCTCTCTCTCTCTCTCATACGCACGTGCCCACACACACACACACACTGAACTTAAATGATGCACCAGCTAGCTTAAAATCTCAGAAAGAAAAAGGCTATGGAAAAATTGTGTCCACATCTTACTATATTCAGTAGTACATGTACATCATGCAGTCAAATTCCCCAGCTTTTGGGATGAGTGCTGATGCTTTCATAGCTCCCAACCAGCCCCATATGGCTGCAGTAGTCCAGTTGAGGGTGTAATATGATAACATCTGACAGTAATGGGGAATTAACTGCTCTTGAATAGAACCAGTTTTTTGGGGTTTTGTGTTTCTCACCGAACAATTTGTTGACTTGAAGTGAAACCAGACTCTCCCAGGCCGCATTCACATGATAGTTATGTGTGCAAATCAGACTCTCCCAGGCCGCGTTCACATGTTGGTAATGTGTACAAACCAAACTTTCGAAAAGTAGTTGTTTTGGAGGTCTTGGCATGATGTAAAGCTAAGATTGGGTTTCCATACTAAGATCGAGTGATCTCTCTAAATTGCTTTCGGCTTAAGTGGCTTAGATGCCTGGCATGCCTACTAAAGTTGCTAAAAATATTAATTACCCCCTAGCAGCTTCAGTAGACGTGACAGACATCTAAGCCCCTGAAGTTGATTGCAATTTAGTGAGACCCCCTTGGAGATAGATCAATTCACAGTAAGTACAATAGGGTCTGGGAATGGTCCCTATGCCTTTTAACTTTTCTCTATGCTCCATGAAAACAGGCTGTATCTAGACTAGAGACTAAATGGAGGATGACTTCATTTCTCAAGTTCTGTACCTGAATGCTTGCTGGACACAGAACAGAAATGGGCACAGGGATAGCCAGAAAAATATCTTTGGTATCTAAGGAAAATATCTCTATTTGTACTTGGTGCTGCATCTCAGCACAGTGTGAACATGGTCGCGCTGGCAGTTCAGCTTTGTTGACTGCAGATGAAATGGGACATTTTGATTTTGATCTTGATTTTGTTTTGACTCAAGAGTTAATGGAACGTGCAACCGTCTCTCTCTCTAGTGTGTGTCTGTGTGCATGTGTGTGTGTGTATGTGTGTGTGTGTGTGTGTATTGCTTAGTGTAAATTTATAGAAAAGTTGGCTGTTTTACCTGTTATAGTTTTTTAAAGTTCTATAAAGGAAGTTCTTTCTGCATACATTTATGGTGATTGCTTTTTATAAAACAAAGAAAAATGTTGATTGTTATACCTATACCAAAACATGTTCTCCTACAATACATACTACCACATTCAGACACACATACACACACACACACTAAATTTTGTTTCTGGCCCAGCTCACTCCAAATCTTTATCCCCATGTGAACTAAACATGGTACAGAAATATTGGAAAGAGGACATTCCAAATGGACAAAAGAAGCAACTGAAGAACACATCAAGGTTAAAAGGCTGACAGAGGTCTGTCTGCTTAGATGTCGACCCTCTACCAGGGCCACATATTGACCTCCCTTGGTGTGAAATTGGCATTTGTGTGTTGAAGTACTTTTGATAAGTTTATGTGAACCTTGTTGCCAAACCATATTTTACTTTATCATTAAAATTGCTCATGGTTCCAAGGAATCCTATTTGAATAGAGAACAGGAATACATGTATCAGCTGCCCCACCCCCATCTTTTACCAGGTCATTTCACCCCAATCTGTTTACATATAGATCTATCAACACCCAATGGTCTGTTGGCCTTCAGCCTGATGATGCTCTTGTGACAAGAGCAAACAAAACATAGCTGTTTCAGTAAATTTTTCTTCCAAAGTAAATGATTATTATCACAAAAATACCAGTAAATGTTTTACTTGTTAAATTGCCCTTTGATTTTAACATTGCCTTCAACAACCTGTTTATTTACTATTTGCATGTTCAGCAAATGCAAAGGTTGGAAAACAGATTTAACCTTCCATCATTTATTCTATGATTATTTCATGATTATTCTAGTTATTTGTTTCGCATGTTTGCAGACACGCAAGGTGGTAGGATTGATGAATAGAGTAATTCTGTAAATTTTCCAAAAGGCTAACTTATTATATTATTCTTCTTTTAAAGATTCATATTCTTCTTCTTTTTAAGATTCATCATTTTCAGACACTTATAACATTAGACCATTTCACACAAAGACAACTCATTTTTCATAACTTGCAAATTGACATTTGAGAAAGTTGTCAATAAAACATTATTTGACAGAAGTTACTTATATATTTTGTTTGTATTGATTGAGTGATTACCATGCATTTTGCAAGGCATGAAAATAAGGATGTTTCTGTAATAATGACATTTGAATTGCTCACCTTTTCTACTCAAACCACGAGGCCATTTCTAATACTTATATTGCATGTATAGTCTAAGGCTCTATTCCCATAGATTTTAGATCGATCTATCCCCGCGGGGAGTCTCACTAGATTACTTTCAGATAATCCGACTTAAATGTCCGTCCCGCCTACTACAAGCTTTCAGGGGGTAATTAACTTTCGTGTCCGCCCGGCTGACAGCTATTTAGCGTGAATCCCCAGGGAGTTAAGTCGATCTAGTTGGATCGATCTAATCTATGGAAATGGGGTGAAAGCTGACTGTGTCTTTTTCTAGTTCTATTTTGTTACAAAAATGGTAAATGTTTACAAATGTTTACAAAAGGAACCAGTAATATGACACCCAATGTCTCAGGAAATAATAGCTGTTTTCATCATTTCTTTGTTTTTTCTCATTCTTGTTTTTCACTTTTTTGGGTTTGCTCCAAGTTGCTTTTTATTACTGCAATCTAAACTAAATTTCCAGTTGCTTCAATCTGCCATCTTTGCTCCTCAGTGTCATGAAATGATGTCAACAACTTCCATTTCACATCTGCACAATTCTAGCCATCTGTTACCAAATAACAGAAAGTCAGATATTCTTATAATCAAAAAGTCTGCCGTCTCAGGCCCTTTGCTTGGGGGTTTAGAAAGAACTGCCCTTTTTGTCAGGGAAAGGTCCATTCTGGGTAAAAATTTGATGTAGGTACACAAAGGTTTCATTGTAGAAGGCCCACTTTTTCAGAAAAAGGACCTCCCTTTTGAATTTGCTGACTATGGACCTGCATCTTTACTTTAGAAATTTTGACGTAATGTAATAAAAAGTATCATGTGGCGCAGACAGTAGAAATGGAACATACACACTGAGCTCTGAAGGTTTGAATTCTGAGATCGTTTTTTCCCTGTAGGCTATTTATAGTCATCAGACGCATAATTAGAGTCTCTGTGTTCATTATTGGAATAATATCCGAGAGCTAGTTGACTTTCCCCCTTGGTTGAACTCGGCCATTGTGTCAGCTAGGCCCACGTATTGAGAGGGACACATATTTCAACATCATTATTTGTGCGCCTGTGGCCAAATGAAACAAATTGTGTGAACTGCTGAGCGGTGCCCCGGTTTTCTGTTTGTGAGTTTGCAAAGAGATTTCCTCTTGTAGTTGAAGTAACCAAGTTCTTGAAAAAATGTTTAAAAAAGGGGGTTGCAAAGTGAAACATTCTTGTAAACCAATTGAGTGAAGCGTAAAAAGCTGTAGCAGCACACTTACAGGTATATAAAAAGTGCAGTTTTTAAAGTTTAAGATGTAAGAGCTTTGCTACTGTTAAGTCAGGGGTAGAAATTTGAGATAAACTTTGAGTGCTGGGAAGTGAAGTAGTCGTAGAGGGGTATGTTGAAAGGATTTTTTTTTCNAATTTTTTTTTAAAAAGTCAGCAGTTTTGACATATTTGCTTATGAAGTGGCTTTATTGACCGAAGCTGAAAATCAAGCCAAAAATGGCCAAAACATTTAATATTATATTAAAATTATATCCAATGATTTCTTTTGGGATTGTTGCCTTCAATGTGAATATCTCCTATGTATGCAACTATATTATGAATTTGGTTGAAATCTGTTGACCCCCACCTTGCCACCCTCTGACTGGTCTTATCATGGACACACACTTAAGGCTTGTTTATGAAAGATGCTGTTGTTTTGTGCTGCTCAGAATACATACTGTTACACAAATAGAGAAAAATCTTTACCAGTTATCCTAATGTTTACTAATTATTATTCTTAATTATTGTACATGATCAGCCCCTAGGGTTATTGCAAGGAATTTTGAGAGTTTCTTTTTTTTTCCTTGAAAAAGGGATTTGAAATGCTTGTATATTTTACCTGTCTGCGCTCAATGTTCAGAGGATACTGTAACCTCATTTATGTTCCAGATTTCAGAATAGATCTACAATGGCCCCTTGTATTCCAGGGAGTTTCTATGGTGACTGCCTCATCAATAAACTACAGCTACTCTCCTCTCTATTTTAGTCTCACCAGGGCAGTGACCCCCTAGATCTACCATGGTCCCCTGTAGTCCAGGGAGAAGGGGAAGAAGCATTTCTGGTTGATGATCCTAAAGTACTGAGAGAAAATGGAAGGTTCCACCGTGACGTGAGAGTAATGGCTGGATTTACCAGTGACGAAGGGGCTGCAATCATACAGAGTGAGTTTACAATTGGTGAAATTAGTGAATATAAAATGATCTAAAAATAAATGTTGAAAATAGTTTAGTTTAGAAACTTTATTAAGTGACCTTTTTTCTCCATAGAAATATTTTGTTTGTATGTTTAAAACAGACTCTTGAATTTATTTCTACCCAGGGATATTTGATGTTGAATTTCAGTTGAGAACAATTGTTTTATCGTGTACATGACCCAGTATGGACAATTTATAAGCATTTTTTTATAAAAAATATGAATAACATTAAAATTTGAATATAATTTTGTTAACCTTGACTTCATGTTTTTTAAATAATTTAATAAAAAATTTAAAAAAAAAAAAATAATTTAAAAGAAATAAAATAGAATAAGAAGGTATTGATTTTTGTCCCAGGTATAGCTGACCAGTTTAACATGGCAGACCTTCTACGAGAAGAAAAGATCAGCCAGAGTGCTCTGGGCTCTCTCCTACACCACTATTTTCCCATCAAGAACGGCATCCTGGCTGGGGAGATCTACAACACCATAGCACGCGGGTACCAGAACACAACTGAAGGCGTGGAGACAGGGGTCTACAGACAAGGAATGGTGGATGTGAGTATAGAGAGAATGCGAGTGTAGAGAGTATGTGCGTCTAAAAAGAGAATGTTTGTATATAGAGGAATATATATTGAAACAGCTATAGATACATGTGTATGATATGGGTGCATAGGTACATGTGCTTGGAATGATTAAGTTGAGAGAGTATATGGAGTATGGAAGTGTATATATATATATATATATATATATAAATATATATATATATATATATATATATATTGTATGTGAGTACAAGGAATATATATATATATATATAGAGAGAGAGAGAGAGAGAGTATTTACATTTTAAGGTTTTATTCTTTATGTTCCAGATTTCAACAGATTACCAGCTTTTAGGTTTTATGTAATGATGCCTTCTTTGTGTTTCAAACCATACATTTTTTTCACCTAAGAATGTGTTATATTCTCCGTTTCAGATCCTGACAGACTATATGTTTGCTGCCCCTGCCCACCAGGTTCTGCGCCATCACAGTCAGCACAACGAGACCTTCATGTATGTGTTTGGGTACAGATCCCCTAATATTAGGACCAATTTCTGGATGGGTAAGGAAAATTTTCATTTTTTGAACTAGTACAGACATATAACTGGCAGGAGCAATGTCAATGTTTCAATTTATCAACCAGGAAATTGATGCAAATTGAAATACAAATTATTAATACATATACATTTTTACAAGAGTTTTTTTTAAACTATTTTTACATTAGAGTAATCAACAGGAAAGACAAGTTTTCATCTAGAAATTGTCAAAGAAAAAAGAAAAAAAATGCCTATTCAAATGTCATTTCATTCCATTTTTTTTTGTAATATACAAATTCACACCCCAATACAACACATAATATTTAAACAGAGCAAATTATTTTTGGTCAAAATTGGAGGTATGTGGGGAAATTTATTAATAATCTTCAGGTACCACCCACAATGATGACCTGCCTTTTGTGTTTGGCCTTCCTTTTCACACAACCAAAATGAGGCATAACTGCTCAACCTTGGACAGCGCCCTCTACAGTAAGTTCTGCAGGGGGAAGAGGACACAGATTTTCTCCGACTACGTGTGCACACACAGAAATTGGTCATTCTGTAACGAGTACGATCACAGGATGGGGCATTCCAATATAGACTATGCAATCATCCCCCAGCAGTACGAGAAATTCGACCACGAGGACCGGATCATTAGTGACTACGTTATGGAGCTCTGGACCAATTTTGCGAAATTTGGGTAGGTAGAAATATGAATTCAGTAATTTCTTAGAATAAAGCAGTTTTTAGCCTTGTGATATTCGTCATAATATTCATACCACCAGCCTGAGCACTGGCAGTACCAGACACGTATGGCTTTGCCACCTCTTCACCATGTTGGTGTCACCATTATCGCTCCTCCTCCTGGACTTAACCTATGTCTTGTTGGAAGTAAGTCATGTATAAACTCAACTTGAACCCCCTAGATTTTGGGCTCTGTTGGTGCATTTGCCTAAAAACTTTGTAAAAGTCTCCAATTTTCTGCATTTTTTGCTGATTTTCGTAATTTATGCATTTTTTTGTGAAGTTTTCATTTTTGTCATTCTGGCATTTTCAAAGACGTGTAAACGTGAACTCTCATGGGCCTGAACCCTTTTGCGAGTTACACATTTTACTAAGATCCATTTTACCTGTTGTGCATAATTAAAATTTGATGCTGACTTTGCTGTAAAGCATAATGTATTATTGCATCAAAATTGACAACAGCCTATTTTGTGCATCATTATTTTCTGCTTTTTGCTTGTACATTTATATAATTGACAGCTTTGCTGCCTTGTTCTGACATTGCAGGCATCCCACGCCACCAAAGACAGCCAACGCCACCTATAGTCAGCACAGTGAGATTGTGGAGTGGCACCTTTTTAAATCTAACACCTCAGAGGAAGACTCGCGCTACCTTCATATAGATACACAGACTGTTATGAAGACTGGACTGAGAGCAGAGAACATGGCTTTCTGGACTCAAACATTCCCCTCTATCAAGGATAAGTATGTTGGTAAGTACATATATTTATTATGGGAGAAATATATAATTGGTTATAAATGCACCTTTTGCATGCAGCCAATGTGAATAATCTGAGATATATCACAACTAGGTATAAAATCAAGCAAGATCTTGCAAATATATCATAGAACATTATTGAATATCTTCAAATGCCTGTAGACTATCATTTTTGACAAGCAGGATCTTGGCTTAATCGGCTTCCATCAAGTTTTAACCAATTGTGAAACTTCCAGAAAAATTTTATCACAACATGCACCATTTCCCTTTTGCAGAATTTGCTCCAGTCATCCACGAGCAAGATGAAAGCACCACTAATGACCTGCTGAAGATTCTGCCATTCCTGGCTGGAGGCTTCCTGTTTGTGCTCATAGTAACCGTTGTCTTGGTAACACACAGGCGACAGCAGCCAAAACCTTCCAGGCAGAACAGCTACAACAGAGACAATAGCAAGACGGTGGCGACACCTATCTTGACATATGCATCGTACGATGTGTATGAGAATGCTGAATCTGTGTAAAATGGAAAGGATGCTGTGATGATAAAATAATTATGTATTTATCTTTATTTAATTGTGTTGAATGTGGAGAAATAATGCCATCTACTTTAAATTATGTGTTGTGTAAAAAAAATATATATAGTATATAACATGTATTGTGATAAAGCATTGAAGTAATTATTGTTTACCTCATGCAAATTTACAACTGGAGTTCTTAAAAATAAGAATAACGATACCACTACAGTCATTCTGCTTTGACATCGCCAATTGTCAGAGAAGATACATGGAGCAACTCATCACCTACAACTAGAATTGATTTTGATTGAAAAAATCTTATGTAATGAATATTTTCCTTGGCTTTGACTGAAATTGATATGAACATTACTCAACTCAAGTCTCCATAACTCTAACAATTAATTTTTCCAGTGGCAGAGTTTTACAGATTATATTACTAGGAACTAACCGTACGTATCTTTTAAGATATCTAAAAACGTCAAATATTTGTTGTGATATTTAAAGGGTAAAGTGTAAATATTGAGAATATTTTAAAAAGAGACTGTGGTTAGCACTTATATTGTCATGTTATCTGTTGTTAAAAGTGGTGGTTTTAAATTTGATAGATTTATGACATAAGTCTGCAAACACTAGTGGGCTAGATTTGGTCTTAAAGTGCAATTTAAGTTCACAAGTGATCTTACACGATCTTAATCATTACAGCAGTAGTCTTAAAATGGACTGAATCTGCTTTTAAGATCAAAAATGATCTAACATCTACTTAAGTAGTCAAGCAGTTTCCTCCCCTCACAATGGGGGATACCTCCCCTCACAATAGGAGAATGTGTAAGGGGAGACAACTTAATTGGCTGTCAGACTGTTTTAAGATCATAATTTAATCATGTAAGACTATTTGTGTTCTTTAATTGCATTTTAAGACCAAATCAAGCCCACTAGTGAAAGGCGTAGGTGTGCAGCTGTGTTCTCTCTTTCATTAAAATGCAGGGAAGGTTTCATTCAAGATCACACTAAGAAGAAAAAAACAAAAAAGTTTTTCTTTAAGACCAAAATTTAAGTCTACTTGAGTTTAAGGACAAACCTAGTCCACTAAAATAAAGTGATCATAAAGGTATTTAACAGGAGTCACAATTCTCTTGTCATAAACCGTATGAAATATTTTTTAAAATTTGACTTCTACATAAAAATACAGTGTATTTTAGTTGAAAAGGGAATGTCACTTTCTCAAAAATACATAAAATGATTATTTCTAATTATTTGCAAGCATTTTATGTGTATTTTGATCATTTTCAGACCTGGGTTCTTTAATTCAAAAGGATTGTGAATTGCGACTGAGCAGATGCGTCTCTATTCTGTAACTTGGCACTTACTCCCCCCATGTAATAAATAGCCTGAAATGAAAGGTGATATCGTAATTCGAGATGCTTTCGAGTTATGGAGCCCAGGTCCACCCTATGTCTGATAATGTTCCAATATGCTAGATACATATGCTGAGAATAATACACATTGTCAACTAATTTTTTTGTACAAATATGAAAATAGTTGAAATTAAAAAACTTAAATTTTTTATTTTTGTTTTAAGTGAAAAAAGCAATTTTGTGGGTCTTTCATGTTAAATCTAGAAACTTTTTATCAGATATTTTAATTGTATGTGATATTTAAGTGCCAAGCTTCAATCTTACTAAGTACGTCAGACAGCAAAGCTTGCAAATATACAGGTACCAAATAGCAGTATTTACATACAAGGCAGCAAAAGTTTTGGAAGGACAGTAGTATCAGTGTCAAAATTGATGGAAGAAGTAACATAGTAACTACTGACACACAACTGGAAAATATCAATTTTTGGTGAAAGGAAGAAGTTACGGAAGTAGAATTTCCTTTAAGAAAACAAATCAGCCTTACATTTAATGAACAGCACTTCAGCAGTAAATGTTATATTATATTACAATATCCCAATTGAAAAGTCGCAGCCTCCTGAGCCGTTTGGGGAATTAATATTATCACTGGTTGATATATGAAAAGCACAAATAAACAGAAGTTTTGCCATTTTATGTACAAAAAACAAACAAACTATGAATAAAGTTATGCTTTTGGAAACAAACCATAATTGTGATCTCTTTACTCCATTCAGTGAAACATCTAGTTAATTGGGTTAGGTGAGCTACTCTGCTCTCCACCAGTTAAATGCGTTGGGTGAGCTACTCTGCTCTCAACCAGTTTATTGCATTAGGTGAGCTATGTATTTTCAAACATCATACATCGCCAGCATTTGCAAAAACATTTCTAAACATTGCAACAGGATATATCTCAGGACGAACATCCTCACCCACATTCTCTTCAAACTCCTTTTTGCAGTTATCCTCAAATTCACTTTTCACCAAGCCTTGTACGGCCCAAGTCTCTGGATACATTTCACGAGGTTTCTCACCTGTCTCAGTTTTAGACGGAACAAAATTGTTTTGTTTTAATCCACTAGGGTTTTCCATTATCCCTTGTGTATATCGTAAAATCTTTTCTTGGGTGTGACTTTTCTCATGCTGTTTAGCTTCCCATTTCCTAATAAATATCCTTTCACAGTATTGGCATTTAAACTTTTTTTCTATAACGTGAGTTATTTCATGTTGTTTAAATGCATATTTTGTAAAGAATGTCTCTTCACAATACTGACATTTAAAATATTTTTCTCCAGTGTGAGTTCTCTCATGCTCTTTACAGCTTTGTTTTGTACTGTAAATCTTCCCACAATACTGACATTTACAACGATTTGCTCCTGTGTGAGTCATTTCATGTCTTTTAAAATTGGCTTTCCTATAAAATCTCCTTTTACAGCACTGACATTCAAATGATTTGTCTTCAGTGTGAGTCCTTTCATGAAGTTGCAAGTAAAATCTTGCAATGAACATCTTTTCAAAAAAATGGCACTTAAATGTTTTTCCTCCTGTGTGTAGCCCCTCATGCCGTTTCTGACTGCACCTTACACTGAATCTTCTTTTACAGTACTGACATTCAAATGGTTTTTCTCCAGTATGAATCCTCTCATGACTTTTTCGGGTGGCATTTGTTCTGAATGTCTTTTCACAATACTGGCATTTATATTGTTTTTCTTCAGTTTGAGTCTTCTCATGCACTTTATAGTCACATTTTGCACTGAATGCCTTTTCAGAATCCTGGCATTTAAATTGGTTTTTCTCAGTGTGTGTTCTCTCATGATGTTTACAGACCCATTTTATATTGAAAGCCTTTTCACAGTACTGGCATTTAAATATTTTTTTTCCTGTTTGAGTAATGTCATTTTGTCTACACCCATCTTTTTTATGATGCATCTTTTCCCTGTAATGACATTTACACAATTTTCTCACGGAAATTATTGTGGCTGCAACCAATTTTTTTTTCCTGTGCTTGCATTTAAATATTTTTCATCCCAGTCTGAGTGTTTTTCTTTTTTTAATTTCTATTTGGCTTCTTTCACGTGATTTTTTGTCGCTGTACTGATAATTACATTGTCTATCCCCTGTGTGAGTTCTTCCTTCTGGAGTGCACTACTGCCACTGACAGGATATCTTGTATCAAAGTACTGGCTCTTGTTTGGAGTTTCACCTTCACTCACGGCAAGTTTTCCTTCAGTCTTTTACACAATGTTCTAGCTAGTACCTGCATTCTTAAAAAAATATATATATATAATATATATATATGAGAATATAAGCATTTTAAACATTGATTAGAAGTCATAAGTTGCTTAGTTGTTAAGATGAAAGCATGAATGAAGTTTGGCTTAATATTACAAAGAAGACTATGTAAGGTTGACAAACAAGCATTGAACGATCGAAGTAAAATACACAATATTAGCACAATACAACTGTATATTCTGAGTACTTAAATATATATGGCAATGTCTGAGAATTCAAAACTGCAAAAAAACATGCAAACTTCTTGAGATGATAAGTGTGCCAGACGACCCAATATGCTAAAAACGAATTTTAACAATTTGCAAATTTCAGTCGACGATATCATAATCGGTTACCTAGCAAAACGTTTCACTTTTATATCACGGACACCCTTGCTAGGTATATCACAATCTGCTAGGGGCGCTACAGTAGTAACTATCCAGGGGCAGTGAAATGTAAAACTGATATCCGCCTGCTGACAGCTCGCCTATGGCATCCCTTTTTTAAATCTCTCTTTTAGCGCCGTGTAAATAAACAAATACAAGCCATTTACTAGATAAGGTGTAAATCAAAGAGTAAATTCCGGTAACGTGATTTTCCCGTGTTGCAGTCTTAGAGAACTTTGAGGACGTTTTTAAATTTTGCCTCGACAAAATGTTTAAAAATTTCAGATAAGTAGTGCATGGAAGCTTTTGTAATTCATGCCGTGTAAAGTTCATGAAATTTGCAATATTATGCCGAAAAATCATGAAAATTGAACCATGCGAAGTATATAGTTTATTTGATGTGCAATATTTATAGTACATGATCTGCACGGAAGCCATCCCAGCCATGTGCTTGTACGGTCGCCAATTTGGGTTTGTTTCCGGGTCATTAGATTAACATACAGCCCTAATTGCCCTAATTGGCTACAGCTGAGTGATCACCGCTGTTCAGTAGTTACAGGTTTTTAGCTGAAGAGGGTGGACACTTTTGGTGAATTTTTGCAGTTAAAACACTTCGAATTCAATATCTTTGTTGCTTGTAGGAATATTTTAAAAATTCCAAAAGAATTCATCTGTTTTTTTGTATTACCTTTCAGAAGATATAAGTATAATAAATTTCTGATCAGTTTGAAAAATTTTCTGATATACCTATCCTTGCCGTTGCGAATGACTTCGTCCTGTTTATCGCATCCCGAGTCATTTTATCCTGTGTATTGCGCTATAATGAGTATTTTATTATTACTAGTTTATGGCTCAGCAGTAAAGCCCAAGCATTATACTCACCACATGCTGGCTGCCTTTTGATTTTACAAAGTTGGACAAAGTTCTATCACAGAAGTAGAAATGTAAGCTTTCTAATATGGTTCTACAAAAAGTGGAAAAGGAATGACATTCGCTTCGAAACTGCTTTGTCCAGTTATATCCAGGACAAGACGCATTCCAATTCCGTTATACAGAGGATAACGTTATGTACAGCACGCACTAATGACGTCCGGCCCTCATTAGCTGAATAGGGAACTAGTTTATGGAATGAAACTGAACACTTAAAGAACAAGCGATAACTAAATAAAGAATTTACACAAAGATGTATAAAAGCTGTTTTTTTCACTTATCATCAAACACGAACTTAAAATTTACCCATTCAGCGACTCTTCATCTCCCCCGTAACTGGTAAATGTGGCGTATTTAAAATCAAAGGGTGAATTGGTCACACAAAAAGCCAACAAAACTGTACTACATAAAATAACACAAGGCTGATTATAAGTATTCTTTTATTTACATGAAAGTGCTCCTCCATCTCATAATTTATTTTTTCAGTCTTGCCTATAGCGTATCGATATAGGACAGAGCTGCATATCGACTTATGAAAAAAAAATTCCAGTTACATTTCAAAGAAATAATTGTCATTGTAACTTTTGGTCTCAGTAGTTAAGCAGAGGAGCAAAATGCCTGACGTTTACTGAAGTAGCGGTCATATAAACAGTAAATTGCACGATCTATTATCTTTATTAGTACGGCATACAAAGCCACGTGTGGCTCGTTTTTTTTCTCTGTAATAGAACACCAGACACTAGGGCCAGTAGTTGCGTCACGAACTACACTTTTTTTCTATAAAAATAAATCAATTTTCTTTCATATAATCTCCAGGCTCAACCAATTCCTTAAAATACTAAATAACAATAAAATTAATAAATGAAATATAATAAAAATGACAAAACATTATTTTCAGTGGTTAAAAAAAAAGCTAGATTTGCAAATGTAGTTATAATTAGCTCTCCTACCAACTGTTCAGCTTGCAATTTCGGCTCAGTTCTTTGTATATTCATGATGATGACATTCAATGAAACTGTATCTATAGATGGGTCATAAGCATCTATATATACTATCAATGTCCCGCACTTTCTGCTCTACTGAGACACATCATTGAGCCATCACTTATCAAGTACAGTAATAAAGAGGTCATGGCCTCTTCTAGGGATGAGGCTGCCAATTAGTGGAAAAAATCTTTAAAAATGGCGTTGGGACCAGAACTACCCCCCCACCCCCCCCCCCTTATCGCAGATCTGCATCGGTATCATATCAAAAATAATAGTTTGGGCTCCCAAAAATATTCAGAAAATTCTTTTCCTGCTCTCCTTGAAAACTTTGTAAACGTTCACTTTGGAATCTTCCTGAAGAACAACACTCTTAATCCATTAGCTACTTATACATCTGTCACTGGTTCCCCCAATGTCCAGCTTGCTTTATTCTTAAGTCATTCTCATGCTTTTATCTCTGCTGCTTTCCATATCTGTCATCCTTTCATTTTCTCTTTTTTTTCTTTTAAAGAATTCTTTCTTTCAAAAGAATTACGTTTCATTCCTCAATCTATTACTGTCAATCACTGTCAGCACTTTCCTTTTTGTGTTTCTTTTTCTTCTTCTTTTTCTTTTCAGATTTCTCCTGAAAACATACCACAATGCTTAATAATCTTTTTTACACATTAAAATGTGACATTTGATTCCTTAACTTGGCTGTAGTTAAAGGAAATCAAAAAGTTTTCAAACTTGATTCTAATTCCCCTGCATGTTTTGCAACACGGAAATTAAAACATTTTGATGCAAGCTGCAAATACATTGGCTTCCAAAATGTTAAAATATATATTTTTTAATTAATTTGCGATCTATCAATAATTTAGTTAAAAAAAGAAAAAAAAAAAACCTGTCAGAGCACTCACCACATCTGGTTCTTCTGCACTCTCTTTCTTTTTCTTCTTCTTTTTCTTCTCACTGCTTGGAGTGGCTGGAGCAGGGGTGGCAGGAGCACTCTCGTCTGAACTACTGCTGGAACTGTGCCTCCTCTGAAAGTACAGAAAAATGAGTTAATTTCTTTTCTCTGGCCGCATTTCTTACTAATTTTTAAAACCTGGAAATTAAATAAAGATAAAATATTCCAAATGATCAGTATTTCTTCAAAAATCCATTCTGATATGATATGTATCATGATTGTCAGCAAGGAACTGTCACCAGAGGGCAGCCCTACTGCTAACATCCAAGAAGTTCCTGTTTCCCCATATTCGGGCTGCTCAGTGCAATATGAAATGCAAGAGCTGGGGCTATGGGGAGCTTCTGGTTCCACAAATCAAAATTATACTATGTTGAGTTTGTTGATGTAACTCAAACTAGAGAACCTAAAACAAATGAACTTGCGAAGACACAGAAACAAGTCAGAACTTTTACTCTCGAGTTTGTGTTAAATAATAATAACGAAATTAATAGTGAAAAAAAATTATTAATAATAATCTATGGTATAAAAACAAATTTGTTCCTGACACAATCTTACCTTTTCAGCTTTGGCCCCACTGCTCTCTTGGACTCCCATGGGAGTTCCTGCGTCACCTCCCCCATCAACTACTTTCTTAGGGGTGCTGGAAAAAAAATTCAATCAATCATCAATTCATATCTTAAGAATTACATTTTTGCTGAAAGAAGACCGAGTACTTTCTGAGAATATTCTGTCTCTCCCACACATCTGCAAATCTACACATCTCAAGGCTCAACTGGATCAACTTGGTTTTTTACTTAAAAATAACAAGCGAAAGTTGAATATTCAAAGACAAATGTTCTTGGTTTTCAGCACAAGACAGCCACCAGAGGGCAGTCCTGTTTCCTATATCCAAGAGGTTCCTATTTCCCCGTATTTGGGCTGCTCAGTGCAATAGTGTGTACAAGAGCTGTGGCAATGGGGAACACAGATGTATTTATTAATGAAATTTTAATTGAACCCCCAAAAGAAATAAATAAATAAATAAACAATTTTAAGTTTCAGACACATACCCAAATCTGACTTGCTCTCTTCACCTAAAATGTCCATCCTCATCCTGACATGCGATAAAAAGCTAACAAAAATTCTAGGTAAAAATATCCGTTATTTTAAAACTGACCTGTAATCCACATAGGTATTCTGCCAGTCCTGAGGAGTCCTTTCATTAGGTTTACCATGCTCTGTCAACAGACCTTCTTTGATCATCTTTTTCTTTGCCAAAGCCTAGAAAATATTTTAAAAATAATCAGATTCATGGGAAAGTTTGTATTTGCTTACTTGTGGAATGTTTTTCAGACAACTTTGTACAAATAAGTCAACTGATCAAAGATATTGATTTTTTTTTCTGTCCCAAGACTCAAGCAAACTCCCTGTCAAAACTTTTACTTCCTAATTTAAAGTCAACTATGAAAATCTCATAATTTTGACATTTCTCGAAAATATATTGATGAAGCTTCTTCCAAAAATTTTCATTTTCATAATAGAGCAATCAGTTAAACTTTTTAAAATAATGTTTCTTGGTTTTCAGCACAAGACAGCCACCAGAGGGCAGTCCTGTTTCCTATATCCAAGAGGTTCTTATTTCCCCGTATTTGGGCTGCTCAATGCAATAGTGTGTACAAGAGCTGTGGCAATGGGGAANCAGAGCACTCACCACATCTGGTTCTTCTGCACTCTCTTTCTTTTTCTTCTTCTTTTTCTTCTCACTGCTTGGAGTGGCTGGAGCAGGGGTGGCAGGAGCACTCTCGTCTGAACTACTGCTGGAACTGTGCCTCCTCTGAAAGTACAGAAAAATGAGTTAATTTCTTTTCTCTGGCCGCATTTCTTACTAATTTTTAAAACCTGGAAATTAAATAAAGATAAAATATTCCAAATGATCAGTATTTCTTCAAAAATCCATTCTGATATGATATGTATCATGATTGTCAGCAAGGAACTGTCACCAGAGGGCAGCCCTACTGCTAACATCCAAGAAGTTCCTGTTTCCCCATATTCGGGCTGCTCAGTGCAATATGAAATGCAAGAGCTGGGGCTATGGGGAGCTTCTGGTTCCACAAATCATAATTATACTATGTTGAGTTTGTTGATGTAACTCAAACTAGAGAACCTAAAACAAATGAACTTGCGAAGACACAGAAACAAGTCAGAACTTTTACTCTCAAGTTTGTGTTAAATAATAATAACGAAATTAATAGTGAAAAAAAAATTATTAATAATAATCTATGGTATAAAAACAAATTTGTTCCTGACACAATCTTACCTTTTCAGCTTTGGCCCCACTGCTCTCTTGGACTCCCATGGGAGTTCCTGCGTCACCTCCCCCATCAACTACTTTCTTAGGGGTGCTGGAAAAAAATTCAATCAATCATCAATTCATATCTTAAGAATTACATTTTTGCTGAAAAAAGACCGAGTACTTTCTGAGAATATTCTGTCTCTCCCACACATCTGCAAATCTACACATCTCAAGGATCAACTGGCTCAACTTGGTTTTTTACTTAAAAATAACAAGCGAAAGTTGAATATTCAAAGACAAATGTTCTTGGTTTTCAGCACAAGACAGCCACCAGAGGGCAGTCCTGTTTCCTATATCCAAGAGGTTCCTATTTCCCCGTATTTGGGCTGCTCAGTGCAATAGTGTGTACAAGAGCTGTGGCAATGGGGAACACAGATGTATTTATTAATGAAATTTTAATTGAACCCCCAAAAGAAATAAATAAATAAATAAACAATTTTAAGTTTCAGACACATACCCAAATCTGACTTGCTCTCTTCACCTAAAATGTCCATCCTCATCCTGACATGCGATAAAAAAGCTAACAAAAATTCTAGGTAAAAATATCCGTTATTTTAAAACTGACCTGTAATCCACATAGGTATTCTGCCAGTCCTGAGGAGTCCTTTCATTAGGTTTACCATGCTCTGTCAACAGACCTTCTTTGATCATCTTTTTCTTTGCCAAAGCCTAGAAAATATTTTAAAAATAATCAGATTCATGGGAAAGTTTGTATTTGCTTACTTGTGGAATGTTTTTCAGACAACTTTGTACAAATAAGTCAACTGATCAAAGATATTGATTTTTTTTTCTGTCCCAAGACTCAAGCAAACTCCCTGTCAAAACTTTTACTTCCTAATTTAAAGTCAACTATGAAAATCTCATAATTTTGACATTTCTCGAAAATATATTGATGAAGCTTCTTCCAAAAATTTTCATTTTCATAATAGAGCAATCAGTTAAACTTTTTAAAATAATGTTTCTTGGTTTTCAGCACAAGACAGCCACCAGAGGGCAGTCCTGTTTCCTATATCCAAGAGGTTCTTATTTCCCCGTATTTGGGCTGCTCAATGCAATAGTGTGTACAAGAGCTGTGGCAATGGGGAATATGCACGTTACAGAAAAATATATAATTAATTTTGAAAAAGACCCGTCTATTTATCCAAAGACACAACTTATCATTTGCTATCTTAACTTTCTAGAATAATGGTTTTTATTCATTTATCCATTTCTCTCTTCTTTCTTTTTCAATTCATGATCAAAATATAACACAATTCATCTGATAGTTCATCTTGGTGGGTGGTGACACCTAGGCAAGTGTCCACACTATAATCTTATCCTCTCACCTTTGGTCCCAGTCCCCACTTCCTGGGGTATGTGTCTCTTTCCATGATAACTCGCTTCAGTTTTGCAACCACACCATGGTCGCATGTCGCCATGACAGCTGTCGTCATCTGTGCTATGGCTGGAATATTTGGAAATCGTATCATCAATAAGTATATATTCACATAGCAATTTCAAAACTATCCCTTCATGCCCCCCCCCCCCCCCCCATGTCATCTGGAAATAACTGTGAAAATCTTTGATGTCAACTTTGATATGGTTTATCAGATAGGATCATTACTCTGCCACTGTGTTGTTTTCCCTTTGGCAAAACTTTCCAAAACTGGATCAGAAAGTTATTTCACATTTGGCCAAAACTGATGGACACTCAAATCACTTTTTAGTAAGCCAAGATAGTTGTCCATACCTAAAGCAACAGCCTCTCCTTTTGTGGTGACTATTACGATCTCGTCGTTAATCTCTATGCCATCTTCATACCTCAGCACCCCGGGTAACATGATCTTGGCACCATAACATACAGCATTGATCTACAGGGAGCAACAAAAGAAAGAGATGGTTAGTTCACTATTAAATGTGAACACCTTCACAATCATCTTTGCAAGAGATAATATGTGCAAAATTTATAAAATATTTAATTAAATACATGTGGATGATGTGGGTTTATTCTGTTTAGTTCTATATGTGTTGAAAACTTTTTCTTTTTGCTACTTGATTTAACTAGTTAAAAATAGACCTAATCTTTCNTTTTGAAAACTTTTTCCAAAAAAATAATTTCCCTAACAAAATTTTAAAAAATTCCCCTCTTCCCCCCCCCCCCCCCCCCCCAAATGTCATCTGGAAATAACTGTGAAAATCTTTGATATCAACTTTGATATGGTTTATCAGATAGGAACATTACTCTGCCACTGTGTTGTTTTCCCTTTGTCAAAACTTTCCAAAACTGGATCAGAAAGTTATTTCACACTTGGCCAAAACTGATGGACACTCAAATCACTTTTTAGTAAGCCAAGATAGTTGTCCATACCTAAAGCAACAGCCTCTCCTTTTGTGGTGACTATTACGATCTCGTCGTTAATCTCTATGCCATCTTCATACCTCAGCACCCCGGGTAACATGATCTTGGCACCATAACATACAGCATTGATCTACAGGGTGCAACAAAAGAAAGAGATGGTTAATTCACTATTAAATGTGAACACCTTCACAATCATCTTTGCAAGAGATAATATGTGCAAAATTTATAAAATATTTAATTAAATACATGTGGTGTGTGGGTTTATTCTGTTTAGTTCTATTTGTGTTGAAAACTTTTTCTTTTTGCTACTTGATTTACCTAGTTAAAAATAGACCTAATCTTTCTAACAAAAGTAAATTTAATATAATTTCTTTTAATCATACCAGAAATAATTACAATTTTATCTGTGGCAACCAATCAAAGTTTCAACTGTTATACACATATAATACACATAAAAGGTATCCAAGCATTACACAGAGCTGATGTGTCACTGAGGTGACCAAATTGTTAATTTTTTTGTGGAGTGACAAGCAAACAGACGTGCACAAGACGACTTACAGCACTGTCTTTGAGGACAATTCTTTTATGTGACACCAGCAATGCCTCGAGGGGTTTGATTACTCGTCGCAAGTACGACTCGTCTTTGTTGTGGTCAAACTGCCACTGGGCGTCCAGGACATCGTGCATGGTNTAAAAAAAAAAAAATTTAAATAATTTTTTTTAAACAACCCAAAAAAAATAAAATTTTTTCTGTGGCACCCCCCCCCCCCCCCCCCAAAAAAAAAAAAAGTTGAAACCAATCAAAGTTTCAACTGTTATACACATATAATACACATAAAAGGTATCCAAGCATTACACATAGCTGATGTGTTACTGATGTGACCAAATTGTTAATTTTTTTATGGAGTGACAAGCAAACAGACGTGCACACAATAACGTACAGCACTGTCTTTGAGGACAATTCTTTTGTGTGACACCAGCAATGCCTCGAGGGGTTTGATTACTCGCCGCAGGTACGACTCGTCTTTGTTGTGGTCAAACTGCCACTGGGCGTCCAGGACATCGTGCATGGTCACCAACCCCTCCTGTAATTATTAAAATAATTTCATCTATTTGAATTAGATAAATGCAATTGTGCATAATTATCAATGATCAAAGACGCTTGCTGACACCAATGAGCGAATTCAGAACAGCAGACTTACAGATCTGGGACCAAATATGGTGACCCACTAAAAAGCTTGATTACTGATAAGACACTGAATAGTTTCCCTGGGGGGATTACGCAACAAGCTTTCAAGTAGGTCCACCATATTTGTTCTGCGGAACAGTTATTCCACTGTTCTGAATGCACTCAAAGTGAATTGGATCAACATCAAGGTATCACTGTTAAAATACTATATGCAAACGTGATAACACTCCATAGTTAATCATGAAAAAAGATCTCTTTGCCTGTAAGAAAAACAATTTCCATGCGTTCCCTTTTCGGTCGAGACAAACCTTTTCTGACTGTATCCCTGACCGCACACGCCGCAACTCCTGCATCTGTCCGCCTACGCCGAGCAGTAGCCCCAGGTGCACGCACAGGGTTCTGATGTACGTGCCAGCCTCGCAGCTCACCCAAAATATTCCTGGGCAAACATGAAGACATGCACATAACGTGGTGTTTGAACATTTTTTTTGGGTTGCTTTTAGTTATTTTATTGAACTATTTTGCATATATTTGTGTTGCTTTAAGTTTCAAACTTTCATTGTTGTTAACAGCTTAACAGGTCACTGGACCAAGCTACCTGATAGGTACTTGTTCACTAAAAGAGGACATATCAAAATATCAATTTTAAAATGACTAAACATAAATCATTTTAGAAAAACTTAATGTACTGTTTCCATTCACGATTACTCACCCATATTTCTCTCTTTATCTATCTCTATCATTTTACTTTCATACACTGTGCGGACCCTAAGCTGCCGTTTTACCGCTGAGATCAGTGGCGGCCTCTGGAAGAGGGCACCTGTCAGCTGGTTCTCTATGATCTGGAGGAAAGAAAATGAATAAGTGGTTGGCATTTCATGTTTTTCAAACGGATGTGGCAAACTTGCCATTCATATTACATGTGACACTATTCATCCAGGTAACTCAAAATGTTTAGTCCTATACCTGATTTTAAAATGGTTTTTATGCCTTTGACATCTTTCTCAATTAGATACACAAAATCATTTAATAAATAGTAAATAAAATAAACATTTATTCAATTAAAGTTAGTCATTAGTCAAATATTTTGTATATTTAAAATTAAGAGCAGAGCTCAACATTTCCCACTCTTTAAAAAAAAATGATAAAATAATAATCATAATGATAATCCCAACAGTCTACATTTGCCTTCAATTACCAACCTGGGTAATTTTTTTCTCATCATCACAGGCACTGTGGAGTCTGTACATACACACATACTCCTTCCCTGCACCCTGCTGGGACTTCACGAGCCTCGTTGCACGCTCCACACACACGATCAAGCACCCGGTGACCTTAGGGTCTAACGTCCCACTGTGGCCAGTCTTCTCCACTCGAAGGATCCGTTTGATCCAAGCTACAACTTCATGAGAGGAGGGGTTGGCTGGCTTGTCCAGGTTGATGAAACCAGCTCTGCAAGATAAATCAGAAATGTAAGAATACTGTAATCTAATCAAACACAGTGTTCAGAAATTACAATCTCAGACAATTTTCATTTTAAGAAACTTTCTCCTCCAAGCTCTCAGAAAAAAATTAGAGTGTAAGAGTGATACTATCACAGAAATCAAAAATTGTTTTTCATCACTGAGCATAAAAGAATCGTCCGAGAGTTCTTAAAGTAAAAAATTTCTTTACTATAGTTCTTTCATACTGCCTGCTATGTCTGAAGGAATTTATCTTAAGTATATTAGAACTTACTTGACATAGTCTTCAATTGGTCTTTTGAGAGGGGAGCATCCACTTGCTATTGGGGTATAGTGGCCTGTTCTGATATTTAGTTTATCAAAGTTCTGAAAGATAACATAATATTATCATTTTTTTCAATGAACATAATATTACCTACAGAAACAAATGGTACTACATCTCTTGACCTCGACTTCCCCAATGCTTCAAGGTAATCTATTGGTTTGGATTAATCTAATGACAACTTATAAAGAATCAAGTCCAATAATCAGCCCAGCTTTGGTCGATGAACTTACTTTCAGTAATAATGGCCACTGTGATGTGTCTAATTTTCCTACTGCTTTAGAAGGCTGGATTATAAAAGACTCAGAATGCTGGACTTCCTGTAACAAAATATACATTAACTGATAATTTGTATTAGTAACAAATATCATTAAAGCAATATAATATATGAAAAATAATTTCATTGCATTCAAAAAAACTGTAGCATTGAAAAATAAATTCATGTTTGATGTGAAAAAAAAAAAACAAACAAATTAACTGGATAAAGAGATAATGAAGCAGCACCCATTGCAGCATCTATCTTAGCAAATCTATTGACTTATTTGTATTATTATATTTTCAGAGATATTTCAGTGATCAATAAAACAACACATGAATTTATAAGAACTGACCCCAAGGTCCACATGCTTCTTCTTTTTCTTCTTTTCTGAAATTGTTAAAATAATTTTAGAAAAACGAATAAAACTCACAAATGATGCTTTATAAAGTTTAATGTTACATCTACCATATCTTTTTTTAAAAACCTGAGAGCATTGTGTCAAATGGGTTTTGACATCGGTCCACCACAATGAAAGGTTCGTGCAAGAACCGAACAACTTCCAAAATGACTTGATAAGGCCCGGCCGGCAGAATTAAGAAATAAATATGTCGTTTAAAAGAACTGACAACAGCCTTACTTTTAACAGAATGAAAATGCAATAACAAGACATCAGTTAAATTATCATCATATTAAAAAATTGCTCGATTGTGGGATTACTAGCTACCTAATACACGGTGTACTCTGTCTCGAGCATTTTACAAACAGACACACGTGGTTCGGAGCACGAGCTTTCATGCAGAGGCCCCTCTTACTTTATCTTGACCCTAAGCCATAGATGAATATTACTGATTTTCAACGCACTGAAGCAAGCAATAGTATTATGAGCGTCATATACCATCTACAGTATTCTTGTGATGTGTTATTTTATTAAACTGTAATTAAAACGTGCTTACCCACGCTGTCCGCCATCTTCCACGTGCAGTACACTCGCGCATGCGTAAAAGCATATGACACTGGACGGTGAAGAGTGAAAGAAAACGACCGAATTATTTTTTATTAGTAGGTGTGATTATTGGATGCAGTTTGGTTGTAAAAATGAGATATACAAGAAGAATGTATTTTATCAACGTAAAAGTTGTAACTTTTAATCCCAAATTTTTGTGCCATTATATTTTGTCCATTTCGGCATTAACACAATTCCATATTTTAGGGCATCAAGATGTCTTAACGTTTGTTTACATCATGGCGGAGAAGGCGGCCAAATTCACGTTTCAACTTCTGCCGGGGAAACAATTCATATCAATAGACGGGAAGGAGGCACAAGATTCGTTAATGAAATGGTAGGGGTATATATTGAAATATGTTTGATTGTTACTAATTAATATTTGAACGCTTAATTTGTCAACCTGCATCAAAAAGTTACCTTAGTAGTCTCAACCGCGGTCAGTATACACAGTAACAGAACTCGCAGATTTTTCATCATGCAGAAAAATGTTTACGTATATATGCTTTCTTATTTTAATGTTGCAGGGGCATGAAAGGGCGCATAAAGGCACAAGTGTTCAGTTTTGACCAAGAATTTCAAGGCTACCAAAAAGATGATTTCGTTTTGGTAAGAGGAGAAAATTATTTCATTCAGAACTTTCGATAAAATAACTTTGTGTGAGCACTGTAAGTGTATGATCTTCTGAGAAAATATAATGTTGATGTCATCAAATTTCAATTGAATTTATTTATTTATTTATTTATTTATTTATTTATTTATTTATTATTTGCTTCATACGTTTTTCATTTTCTTCATCAAAGTATCAAAATAGTATTAGGTTTTCATTTTTTCCCAGATCCAGTGATTTTATATATATATTATGAATATTCATTTATGTCCATATGTTATCACCTCTACATGTTTCAGGCCTTTTTCAAAGACCCTGTTGTGTTGGGCAATTTAAACGTTCTTTCCTCCAGTGATAAATGGGTGCCATTAGGTGAGTTATGTGGTCATAATTGTAATGTTTTTTTAGATTTAAGGGACTTGAGAGAGAGAGAGAGAGAGAGAGAGAAGGAGAGAGAGAGGGAGAGAGAAATTAGCAAAAAATAATAAACATTGATAAATCAAAAAAAGTACCACTTAAAGAATTATTGTCCGAGAAAAAAGTCGGTATCATCACCAATGCATACTCAAAATATGTTGTGCTGTGAACATGAACATAAAATACAATTATAATTCTTTAAGAAAAAGTTGATTTAAAAAAATCACCAATCGATAAGCACATTTTATAATATACAAGAAAGCTGTAAAAATTCCAATGATTGTTTTGGCCTTCAACAGACACACATATATGTCTGTAAAACATCATCATCTTATTCCATATCCTAGGCACAGAGGCACAGAGTGTCACAGCTCAGCCTGTCCCATGTACTCAGGTCTCTATGGTGTTCTTTGATCGCCTGGTAGATGAGGGAATCATACGGGAGTCTGGGCAGATTATGAAGTGCTTTGATGACTACTATGATGATATTACTGTCTCTGATGAACTGAGAAAGGTAGGTTGTATCTGTAGGTACACACACACAAACATGTAAATACATGGATACAACCAAATTTTGTTGACTGCTAGGATAATAATAATAATAATAATAATAATAATAATAATAATAATAATAATAATACTCTCTCTGATGAACTCACAAACTTTAAGGTAGGTTTTATATGTAGGTGCAGACAGACGTAAATACACAAAAACAACAAAACTTTTTATCATGAGCACTGTGATGAAATAAATAATAGATAAGTTTTTTCCATTGATCATCCGCATTCAATGATTGAATAGCATTTTGCTTTTTTATCTTGCTTTTGATGCCTAAATATTTAAGAATAATAATCATATTCCAGATGTTACTCATTGAAGACTCAGATAACTATGAAGCCTACAGCTCAGCCGAGCGAGATGAGTTTCTATTCCGTATTTTTAAGCACATCTGCCTTGGGGGTCAGGTGTGTCAGTACGAGGACGAGGTGAAGCCGTACCTGGACATGACTAAGAATATCTACAAGGATTTGGTCAGGTGAGAGGGCAGGTGTTGACTAAGGTAGACAGGCGGTAATTTTTTCTTTAATTAAGATATTGCTCTTATAAGTTGGAACTTAGATTATTTATAAATGATCAAATTAATTTAAGGTAAGAAGAAAGGTTTTGAATGTAAAGATCTAAATTTATAACATCCTTATATTATATTATATTATATTATATTATATTATATTATATTATATTATATTATATTATATTATATTATATTATATTATATTATATTATATTATATTATATTATATTATATTATATTATATTATATTATATTATATTATATTATATTATATTATATTATAGTGTACAGAAGGACCCCTCTACAAAAGAATTAAAGGTTGTATCCCAAGTGCTACAGGTGACAGCCTCGGTAAGTGTTTGTGTACAGGAGTTAATGAGGTAATATACTCTAACATACTAGGTAGATGACAAAGAATTTTAAAAGAAATAAAGGTACGCAGTCCCATCTTAAGCTTTGTGGGCAGACACACAAGTGTGCCTTTACATTAAAAACTTAAAGGCTTATTCTGCATATCTAATTTTTAGTTTTCTGGAACTTACCATTTAATGATAATGATTTTAGCCATTCTCCTAATGAAGATTGATGGGTAATTGCAGTGACTCAAACTTTAGTATCTTTTACCTAATTCACAGGTTTACGGATGATTGTAATTTTTCTCAGTGGCTTTGGATAAGGCTTACCATGGTGATTGAAATTGTTGAAATTACTTGGAAAATGATTTTTGTAATTATATAAATAAAAGACTTATGCACACTGTAGCACTATTTAAGTTCACATATATACTTTAATATCATTTAAGTATAACTTTTTCCACCTTCAGAATGATTCGGGAATGCATTACCCATGTGACTCAGAACATGTACAGACATTTGCATATCTGATCATTGATCCAATCAAAAGACATGTTACAACTTTCTATCATCGTTTTGGAGGTGGTGTATTCTGAGAAGTACTGTTCAAAGGTCACAGGTCAGAAGGTCAAAGGTTACGAGGTCAGAGTTCAAAGGCAGCAAGGAGAGGAAAGAAACAAGTGTTCTGGGGCCATATTTGACTATTTCTTTTTCTGCTTTGCTTTTAAAAATCCGTCATATCCAATCTCATCAACAGATCACTGGAATCACGCTTGCACTTGATATATTTTTAGGAAAAAAATTGAAATAGCTTCGGCTGAAGCATTCATCTGAGTTAGATGAAATGTATTGATGGTAAACTGTTAAATGGGTTGAAACTGAACAATATATAGTATCTTCTCCATTTCTCCATCAAAGAAAAGATAGAAAGCATTTAGCTGATCCCATTTCTGATTTTAAGTCTGAGAGTTTTTTTTTTTTTTTATCATGGGATGTAGAATTTACTCTTAATTAAATGCACTGCTCTTAGTTTAAGATTTTATGTGAAATATGTCAGTTTGTGATACACAGCAGACCCTGCACAACTCAAGACCCTTTTACATTGGTTATTTTGTATCATTAATGTATCTTATGGGAAGTATTTTCCCCTGTAGTATTATCTGAGGATCAATCCAATCTTGCCTCACTTGAACCTAGAACTCAAAATACATGTATCTTCTATCCTAACTCGAACCTTCACATAACTTGAACAAATATTAAAAATTCTTTTAAAGTCTCTTTTTTTAACTTACCTTTTTTAAAAATTTACGTTTAATGGCTTTCAGCTTCTTTTTTGATTTCAGAAGTTTTGAGTAATAATTTTATACCTTCATGCTAATTTTAAAATAAAGTTTGTTGGAAAATGTTTAATTGCATAGTGTATAATTTCACATTGCTAAGTATTAAGTGTATTGAAATGAAATACAGTGGAATGCGCTTTACAAATATTATAACTATGAATATTACATTTTCCAGCCCCAAGGAGTAAGAGTTGTGCAGAGGAAACTGAAATTTTATTGTACATTTGAACAAACACATCACATTAATGTTTTTACAGAGATCCTGTAATTATGTTGTTATAATAAAAGTTATTTTCATTTGATTTCACACACATTTCTTCCATTTATCTGCAGACTGTTATAAAATAGCCAATTTTAAAAAAATGTACTCATTTTTACAGTACAGTAAAAATGAATGGGAAATGCCACCTAAGAAAGACCCTTTTTCTAGCTGTTCAAATTATTTCCAATTATGAAAAGTAAGGATAAAAACATGGAACATGCGTTACAAAAATCCCTTTGATGGCCATTTCCCTGAACAAAATACCTCACTGAATATTTTAATATTTTGTTAAAACAAACAGTAGTCATGCATATTTGTTTACAGATATACTCGATACTGGCGATAAAATATGCCTATTACATTATGTGTCATAATTAAACTGTAATTGCAGCCCGTTGGATAGCACGAAAATAACACAGTACATATCAGAAACGTCAATAGGAGTGATAATGCATGAATTTTCGTGTTACCCGTTGGAGAAATGTTGGTATTATCGCTGATAAAATCACCATCAGCGCTAGAAAACCCTCCTGATGGCCTTTGACACTGACACTAAATACCCAAGTGAATATGACCAAATGGCTGTCACAAGTAATTGTCTACTGGTACGCTTGGTTTGAACGATTGCAAGTAATTGTTTTACCCTAGTCTTTCATGAGGATACGTACGGATAAAATTTAGTCCCAAAATATTACACGTCCCTATACTCTGAGTCTGTTACCGATAGATACATAATGGAAAAACTGGGAAAAAACGTCTTTTTAGATTTAAATACCGATAGATCCGATTTTTTACCACCATCCTATATATTTGCGTTCCTATAGATACGACGTCCTCATAAACCCACGTCCTTTAAAATCATACCTATAGATCCACGTATTTTTAGATCCAAATACCGATAGTTCCATTACAGGCACACTGTTGCTCAAAATGGTTGGTATACTACTCAGTACATAAAATGCACTTTTTTAAAACTACAGTACACATATTAATCATTTCAGTGATTTATTATTCTACTAGATAGTTTTTACGAAATACTCGGGTAATTTACATTAACCTTCTTATTTTGTTTCATTTTATACTGTGTACGATTTATTTGGGCATTTGCATGAATGATTCTGCCTGATAACTGTCTTGTATACTTGTTAGAAACCATTACTGTATGGTTGACAAACATATCCAAAGTATGCAGGCAAAAATCAGCGTTATTTACGTATATATATATATAAGTTATTTACATCTTGGACATAATAACGAATTTATGTCGTTATTATGTCCAAGTAGTTTACATTGCTGAAGTTACGTGCGTACATTGTGGAAAGGAGTAAATGATAGTAAACGATAGTAAATGGTAGGCGTGAAGACGCAAACGTACATGTATGTCTTGTTTGAACACCTAATAAATATATAAAAAAATAAATATTGGGTTGTAATTAAGTCAGATCCCTAAGTGGGTCTCTCGCAGCCAGACTATCACTCGAAAGCCTCATACCTGTATCTCAAGTTGATATCGACATTTTAGCCGATTAATTACGATGTCAGATAGAAGGATCTAGCGGTACCTGGATCTAAAGATAATTTACAGGAATCTGTTGGTGGATCTATCGGAACGTAAATTTAACGAGACGTAAATCTATTGAGACGTGTATGTATAAGAGACGTAGGCTATCTCTCGGGACGAATATTTTATTGGGACGTTTAACTATATGGCGGACCCCTTTCAATAAGGGCTTCATTCTGGGTTAAGTAGGCGGGAAACCGACTGTAAGAATCCGAAAGACTGAATAGCAAACGATAATCACATCTTGTGGTCGTACCCTTTAATTTTCATCTCACGTAACCTGCACATGTCTATTTAGCATGTTACATCCAACTGAAGTAAAGAAATGGTTAGGTCATTTAATGATAGAAATCTAAAGACTATTATCAGTTTTGAACAAAAATGCCCATCTTAAGATAATAGTTTGGGCAAGGAGTTGGTTGGTTTGTGCGTGTTTGTTATGATGTACACAGTTCTTTAATAACTTTCTTACTAACTCCACCAGTCTACATCAACCTCGTGTACAAAGTGCTACCTTTGAAATCTTTTTCGCCACCTTTAGTTAATGGGTGGTTGATTTTATTATTCCAAAAATGCTCGAAACCGCAACGAGTCCTTCTTTGCAGAACTTCGGAGAGCCGGCGAAGGTCATGGGATATTACGTGTATTTACGTCCCCCCCCCCCTCCCCCCCCCCCCCCGCTGCACATTATGGCTCTATTCCCATAGATTTTAGATCGATCTATCCCCGCGGGGAGTCTCACTAGATTACTTTCAGATAATCCGACTTAAATGTCCGTCCCGCCTACTACAAGCTGTAAGAGGGTAATTAACTTTCGTGTCCGCCCGGCTGACAGCTATTTAGCGTGAACCCCCATGGAGTTAGGTCGATCTAAAGTAGGTCGATCTAATCTATGGAAATGGGGTGTATTATTTAACGCTGCTGTATAGTTAAGTGCGCGCAAAAGGAGTAATAGCCACAAGTACAGACTATTTTTAGTAATTGTACATGCATATAGACCCGACTCGGTATTGAGAAGTAAGACCGTTTTGTCAAAGTTGTAGCTAAATATATATAATTATTGTAACGTCGGGTTCAGTAAATATATTTCTGGATGTAAAAATGTTTACTAGTATGTAGCTAAAAATGAAGCTGTCGTCTGTGATATCGGGTTAAACCGTTTCCATTTGTTAAAATAGATTCGAGATCTTTCGTGTCCTTATGAAATTTATTACATCATTTGTCAAATTAGCATGCGAGTCTTGCCAAAGATTTTTCCATTTCTTTACTGACATGGCGAGGAAGTATATACAGGTGGCACTTATCGCTATCATTGTGGTGGTTCTAATTTACTTAAAACAAACAAAGATAAAAGGAGTTTTAATAAAGAATCTGTATTCTGGAACACCAAAGACTGGGAGAATTTTTGCAAGGACACAGAGGTTCCCGGCCATCATTTCTACCCCGGTGATTGAAAAGGAATGGGAAGAAATCAGCTGTGTCTCTCTCAAGGTGCATCCAAATATATCCACTCCTATTTGTATTTACAATATGACAGAAGGGGATCTCCTTTCAAATTTGCTGTCTAGAGGAGTATTGTGGCAACCACAGCTAGTAAAAGAAATGATAAAGATTTTAAAGGGTGACCCAGAACTCCAACTGATTGACTTGGGTGCTAACCTTGGAATCTGGACTCTTTCAGCAGCACAACTTGGACGAAAAGTTCTGGCAGCAGAAATGTTTCCTCCGACTGTCATCCGTTTATATAAAAGCATTCAACTGGGAAACCTAAAGGACTTAGTGACATTAGTTCCAAAGCCTTTGTCAGATACACATGAAAATGTTACCATTTATCTCTGCGGAAACAACAAAATGGGCACCAACATCGTCAAAAATGCAAAAGTGATGAGCAACTGTGGCTTGGCCTCCCCCTATGTTGCAAGTACAATAACTATGGATGACCTCACTGCCTATTTGCCAAATGGATTCAAAAAAGCTTTCATGAAAATGGACATTGAGGAGATGGAATTAAGAGTTTTCAACAGATCAGAACATTTCCTGAAAACTGTGGATGTTCCTATTATTTTAATGGAATGGATGCACCACAGAAGGTCTATTCAGGAACCAAAATGCAGCTACTTTATATCCTACATGAGCCACATGGGTTATATTCCCTTCAGACACCTGGCTGGACCAGATGGTAAGCTGGGTCCACTGCTGGAAGACAAATACTGGCTCCAAGTAGGAGACCTGTACTTGATCAAAAAGACATACTTGGAATCAAATTTTGTACACCTTCAGTAAAAACTGAAAACACAACAGCAGAAGAATTTTATGCAGGGTAATATGATTCATTGCAGCACAGATGTGTTCAAGTTCAAAGAAATCACTGCAGATGAGGTCAGAGACTTTTTACCTGGACTTATTATGAAGAGGGATTCTGATTATTAATTGTTTTAAAACAATGTATCACCGATTCAAGTGTCATGCCATTTTCCAACGAGAGCCGATATTGAGAGTAAAGAATTCGAGCAGACAGCAGCCGGTATGGTGAACATTTATATACAGTTCACAGCAGTGTTAATGTCAACTTTGATAAAATGACACTGAAAGCACCCCAGGTGCGTTTTTGTGTGTCACAAATGCATGTGTGGTGCCATGCTGCAACCAAAACCGATACTGAGAGTAAAAAAAATTATTAATTAGCATCCCCACATTCGAGCAGACGTTAGTCTGTAACATGAACATATATATGCAGTTCACAGCAGTGTTGATGTTAACTTTGATAAAGGGATATTAAAAGGCCCACGGGTGCATTTTTGTGTGACATAATTGCGTGTGTAGAACCACATTGCAACGAGAACCGGTATTGAGAGTAAAAAAAAAAAAATAATAGCGTCCCCATATTCAAGCAGACGTTAGTCGGTAACATGAACATATATAAGCAGTCCACAGCAGTGTTGATGTAGTCTTTGATAAAGGGATATTATAAGACCCACGGGTGCGTTTTTGTGTGTCACAAATACGTGTGTGGTGCCATATTGTAACGAGAAGCGATAGTGTAAGTAAAAAAAATTATTATCATTCCAAAAATAGAGTAGACCTTAACAAGTAGCATGAATCTGTATATAAAGTACACAGAAGTGTTGTCGACTTCATCTTTATTTAAAAGGTACATAAAAAATACCAGCCTAAAAGAAATGTCAGCAAGCCTAAGAAATCAGAAAGAAATTGCGTCATTTTAATTCAAAACACGATTGAAGGTATCACTATTGCTGCATCTCAGGCTAGTTTCTCACATAGAGAGAAAATTTCGACACTAGAATCATTTTGCTATCGGATCATAGCTAAAAACAAGTATGCTACACTACAATTATACAATTTTGAATGCTTTTTTTTACGGCAACAAACAAGATTCCCGTTACCACATAGGGCAATTCCTGCATGAACAAACATATCAAATTCTCACATAGTTTCCAAATAGATAGAACAAATTGTACTCATACTTATACTGCACCACGTTATCGCCATCTATCTGTCCAAATGACACAAAAAGTCATCGACAACTGTGATATGCCGATATGCTCGAGAGGTCACGTGATCCGAACGCACACGGTTTCACGAAGAGCTCGCGCTAAGCTGATTAGCCTTTGACCTTGCTCCGCGTTTCTAGTCCCTTCGTTATTATGTCCACGTACTACATCATGTAAAGTACTAATTACACTTTTTTCTATACTGACATGTTGTCTTCAATAAACATCCCAAGATGTCCAGGTGTTAGAACCTCATCCAAAACTTGAATGCCCCTTTGTTAACAATAAATAAATAAATAAATAAATAAATAAATAAATAAATAAATAAACAAAGCAGCAAAGCTGTCAAGTGGACAGACAAAAATGAAAGAGGCATGGCAGTAGGCATGTCGTATACAAGTTGTAGCTTTTCTTCAGACTTTTTCAAAGTCACTTTACTGTAAAGAAAAATATTCAAATGGGTCCAAATCAAGAGATTCACAGAAATGATGGATAAATGAACAACATTCCCAGTCATCCTAAAGTTTATAATTATCATTCATGACAAAGAAAATGCCTGAAATGAACTGACAAGCAAATCTTATTCCTAACAAACACACACACACACACACACACTGCCATTTAATGAATACCTATTTATGTCTATATGTTATCACCACTACATGTTTCAGGCCTTTCAGACCCTGTTGTGTTGGGCAATTTAAATGTTCATTCCTCCAGTGATAAATGGGTGTCATTAGGTGTAGCAAAGGCAGGTATACATACCCCATATTTTGTCACTTGATTCTATGATCTATGATACAATAAATGTGGATATAGGGTTATTTTCGTATATAGCACTAATATTTTTCCTTATCTTCCTGGTAGACAGCGCATGGCCCAAGGAAGTATGGAAAAGTACTAGTAGTTTTGGTTTACAATATTATTGTGGATAGATAATGATTTTCGTATACAACCCTAATTATATTTTTCTTTTTCTTCTAGAGAGCACATAGCCCAGTGGACGGAGTGAAAGGATAAAATATGAACGCTTATAACATTTTTTCAATTAACATGGATTCTTTTTCAGCAAGTCCGCATTTTGCGTTTTCAAGTGTACTTTTAGTTTCAGAGCGAATGCCGTAGCAGTGTTCAACAGGGCGTGGCTACAACCATTACCGGGCCGTCTTCGATTTGTGGTCTACGACATGTTAACACCAGCGTGGAGAGGCTGGCGCAGCCGGCTCTCAGCACCGTTTTACATTTGCTCATTCAAGGTGTTGCTTGCTCAGAATCATTGTTATTATTACTATTACTAACTTTTTAAAAGCCACATACATGTTCTATGGTGTTGTTTCAATGACTATATTCTTCCTGCTAAAAGCAACGTGCATAATACGTAGTGTGTAGCGTACATTATTATTATTATCATTACATTTAAATACTCTGGTAAATTTGGTTTCCATGGTTATGCTTGCAGGGTTTAATTAAAATTCTCGTTTTTAAAATTATTAAAATGTCCACAAAGTAAGATAAGTTTCATATAAATTTTTAGGAAAAAAAATGAAGTAGCTTCGGTTAAAGCATTCATCTGAGTTAGATGATATGTATTTATGGTAAACAGTTAAATAGGTTGAAACTGAACAAAATATTTTTTTTCTCCATTGGGGAAAAGAAAAGAAGCATTTAGCTGATCCCATTTCTAATTTTCAAGTCTGAAAGTTACATTTTTTTTCATCATGGGATGTAGAGATTACTCTTAGTTAAATGCACTGCTCTAAATTTAAGATTTTTTTTGTGAAATATGTCAGTTTGTGATACACAGCAGACCGCACAAATCAAAACCTGGTTATTTTGTATCATGAATGTATCTTATGGATAGTATTTTCCCCTTTAGTATTATCTGAGGATCAATCCAATCTTGCCTCACTTGAACCTAGAACCCAAAAAATATACATATGTTCTATCCTAGCTTGAACCTTCACATAACTTGAACAAATATTTAAAATTCTTTTAAAGTCTCTTTTTTTAACTTACCCTTTTAAAAAATTTACGTTTAATGGCTTTCAGCTTCTTTTTTGATTTCAGAAGTTTTGAGTAATAATTTTATACCTTCATGCTAATTTTAAAAGAAAGTTTGTTGGAAAAATTTTAATTACATAGTGCAAAATTTCACATTGCTAAGTATTAAGTATAATTATTGAAATGAAATACAATGTAATGCACTATTCAAATATAAATTTATAATTATGAATATTACATTTTCCAGTCCCAAGGTGTAAGAGTTGTGCAGAGTAAACTGAAATTTTATTGTCCATTTGAATATACACATTACATTAATTAATGTTTTTACAGAGATCCTGTAATTATGTTGTTAAAATAAAAGTTATTTTCATTTGAATTTCAGACATATTTCTTCCATTTATCTGCAAAGTATTAAATAAGCCAGTTTTTTTTTTAAAAAAGGTACTCATTTTTGTTTTGCTGAGACCCTGAACTGTGCAGTTCCAATCTTTCAATGAGATTCCTGAAAGTACAAAAAGGAAACCCGCAATTCAAAAGACTGAAAACAACAATCACATCTTGTGGTCGTATGTTTTACTTTTCACCTCACGTAACCTGCATATATCTCTTTAACATGTTACATCCAACTGAAGTAAAGCAATGATTAAAGCAATAATAACTCTTTGTTTCGGCCAAAAAATGAATTTTCCTGGAGTAAACAACAATTTTCCCATACTTACCAATGGTTAATGAATCCATTTTTACATTCAAAGTTAGTCCCTGGTTTTTTTCTAAAAAGTTTGGTTTTTTGTTAAAATCTCTTAAGAGATTTTAACAGAGTATAGCCATCAATGGAGGTCAAGTGGTCTAAAGACAAGTTCAGATATCAGAATAAAAGCTATAACTGCTGTTTTTGGGGTAAAACAGAATAAATTATATTTCTATGAGTTATGCACAAGGTTTTTATTGTGAAATATAGATCTCATACGAAGAGTTATTATCCCTTTAAGTGATTTCATGATAAAAGTCTATAGACTGCTGAAATACTATAGTACAAAGACTATTAACAGTTTTGAACAAAAATGCACGTTTAGATGTTATAGTTTGTATTTGTTATAACATACACAGTTCTTTCAAAACTTTCCAACTGCATTATTACTAACTCCACCAGTCTACATCAACCTCGTGTACAAGTTGCTGCCTTTGAAATCTTTTCAGACACCTTTAGTTAATGGGTGGGCGATTTTCTCCCAAGGTTTATCACCTCTTGTGCAAGGTGCCGCCTTTGGATGTCTGATTAAGATGCCTTCAGCAAACCAGTGTCTCCAAAGGGAGTGAATGTTATTAGTCTGTCTCTCTAAACTTCACCATCTCCTGCACGGTAGCAAATTGGGAACAGGGGACCTGCACTGCCCAATGCCCTTTTAAGTACCTGGAACTGTTCATAAAATGATCCTGATCACTATATGTTTGGAGTAGACATCACCAATTAATTTCCAGAAGGTCTCATTCCTTTCAAAGGCCTAGCAATTAAATCTTGGAGTCGAGATTTAATCCGTTTAATGGCACATGAGGTGGGGAAACCATAAGGGTATAAGGGGGCTTGCTTTTAAGTGGGATCAGCCATATTTAGTCCCCGTATCATCTGTTCTGAATGTGACCTATGGCTTTGACAGGCCTGCACAGTTCCACCATATTTTCTCCTTGCTCTTAGTGTGCATCTTGGTGCCTCTTACAAGATACTCCATAATCCTCATAGTTTAAGATAAGCATCACCTCTTGGTTGCCTTTGGCTGGACTAAGACCTTGACAGGCTTGCACAGTTCTACCACCACTTTCTCCTTGCTCTCTGAGCTGTCATCTGCAGAGGAACGGTCACAGAACTTCACCAGGCTCAGTTCTATATTGCATGCCTCTGGAGGAGAAATGGAGCATTCATTGTACAAGTGTCACACCTAACACAATGTTTTTTTTTTCAGCAAAGAGTATAAATACTGCATAATGTGCAGTGGCCAACTTTAAGCTCATATTAACTATTCTCTTGTCTAAGGGTGTATTCAGAAAAGTTCATCCGCAGACTAACTGATCTGCAGATCAAATATGGCCAACCCACTTAAAAACAATGCTGCTTTATCTCCCAATGGACTCCCCACCTCCCACACTCAAAAAATCCCTGCAGGGACCTAGCAATTAAATCTCTAAACAGTTAAAATTTAGCTTTAATTGCTAGGCCCCTGCAAAGATGGTAAATGTGGTAGGTCGGGAGACCCTTAAGGGATTACATGACCCTGCTTTCAAGTGGGGCTGCCATATTTGATCTGCAGATCAGTTAGTCCACATATTAAGCTGCTCTGGATGTAGCCTAAATCTTGTGAAATGGAATTTTTCTTTGGTATTAGTTGAAACTTCTTTGAACATTGCCCAACTCAAATTTCAGGTAACCTGAACTAATTCTGACAGTATTCATGTTATCCAAAGTGTACTATTATTTCAAACAACTGATTTCAATGTGGCCAACCTCTGGATTCATGTCTTTACGCTACTGAGAAAAAATAAATGCTCAATTATATCGCATCACATCAAATATCTTAAGTGCATTATCAAGTCAAGGACAGTTCTGAGGCCTGCTTCTCAAAAAATCTTGTTTTTGGACTTGTTATCTGACTAAATAATGCTTTACATAAAAAAATGACTACGATAAGGTTTGTGCTCTCAGTGTAGCCCATTCAGGTACAATGTCTAATATCCTACCTTTAGCCCTTGTAACACTAGGCTCGCAACATGGAGCATAAATTTTTGTCCTTTTTCACCCCTTTCAAAGTCAAAGCTTTTATCAATTTTTGATATTCAACATCATATTCATATATCAGGGTAAATAAACTTTAAATATTGTAGCTTTTTTGTTAGATATTTGTAACAATGGGCAAAAAAAAAAAAAAATAATAATAATAATAATAATAATTCTCCAAGCACTCACAAGCCCTGCTTAACAAGGGCTTTAGAAGTCCAAGATAAGCCAAATGAAAGAACCAAAGATCTTTCATGAAACAGGCACCATGATTCAAAAAAAAAAACAAAAAAAACCTAACCTTGCCAGACTGCATGGGAGACCAGGACTTGGGTGACCAGTCTGTGTTTAAGTGGTCCTATTCGTTTGTAGTCACTGGGTTTAGGCAAGAGATACTGGACCTGCTGGTCTGGCGTCTTGAGCTGTAATTATAACATCCACAACATAATAACTTTATAGGTTGTTCTCAATTTGACAGCATACATATATGATATTTATATCCGTTTTAAGAGTATCATCAACAGCACATCTGACATTTTTGTGATACTAGTTTTCATACCTATAGGCTAAAAAATACTCAGAAATGCTTAGAAAAATATAAACTGGGAAAAATTTTGTCTATTTTTTGCCCATCATAACTTTTCTCAATTTTATTTAGTTTCAGACTTTACCTTGACTCTCAGTTCTTGCACTTCTTCCACATTCTCTACCAAAACATCCATGTCAACTGCAAGAGCCAATCCTGCAGCAAACTGTAACGGATTATCCGATTTGCCAGTTGGCTCTGTGATCGTAGCTTTGGCTTTGCGTATCTGATTGGACAGTCTTGGTATTCTGCACTTAAAATTTTGTAAGATCTGATTGGCTGCAGAGATATACGTCTGTGGCTGGACTATGTCTAGTTTTTCCTCTTGGAAAATGATAGACTGGAGAAGTGGCCCTGTGACACTGTGTTCTGTTAAATATCTGAAAATGGAGATGCCATAACAGAACATGATTGTCTGTTCATCCGATTGCATTCAGCAAAACGATAATTTAAGAATAATTTCTAAGAGAAGAAGCCAAAAGTTGTGAAAAAAGCTATGTGAGTCATATCTTCAAACTAACTGTATTTCCAAATAATTGCAGGTTATACAATTATATGTTGGGTTTACATATTTAACTGCAGCATCAAATATTTCTACTGTTACACCTAAAAGACAGAAAACTATCGAAGAAAGGGCTAATTTAACAATTTTACTGTTATAAATCTATACATTTACATATTTATCTATTCATTTGTCCATAGCAAAAGAGATTTTTGTAAAGGAAACCCTCTTCCAGTGACTGTACAATTGAGTCACTTTTAGAATATTCAAAGACTTGTTGGCAGATTATGCATCACGCTATGAAGATCAAGTTTTTCAGTTTGAGATAAAGTCTTGTGTGCTTTAACTAATTATTTATTTGTTTCTTAAGATATTTCAAGCAAATATATTAACATTCAAGTCAAAAAGAAGGAAGCAGAAAGATCGAGGGAGATTCAAAAGACTGGTGGTGGTGGTGGTGTCTCTCAAATAGTCTTGACTCCCATACAAGAAAAGATAAAATAATGTTAGCATTTTATTAAAATAAATTTAAGTATATAGTCAGAACATACCTCATATAGATGACTTTGTACATAAAAATCTGTTTTCTCCATGTTTAATACTGTAACAGCCGTTTCGGCCTGGAGGCATAATCAGTAATGCAAACAGATCAAATACTAGCGCTAAAGTCATAATATTAAAACACATAAATGTATGGACCCTCCAGCATTAACATCCCATAAATATATATCTTAATGGCAGTGCCACAGCTTAATTTGTATGAATTCTCGTTTTAAACCTAGCTACATAGGAAGCTGCATCAGCAATCTTGCCAAAGATTTTTCCATTTCTGCGACTAGATTACCATTCACTAGAGACATGGCAAGGAATTATATACCAGTGGCACTTATCACTGTCATTGCGGTGGCTCTTCTTTACTTAAATCGAACAAAAATAAAAGAAGTTGCCATAAAGAATCTGTTTTCTGGAACACCAATGACTAGAAGAATTTCTGCAAGGACACAGAGGTTCCCGGCCATCATTTCTACCCTGGTGACTGAAAAGGAATGGGAAGAAATCCGTTGTGTCTCTCTCAAGGTGCATCCAAATATATCCACTCCTATTTGTATTTACAATTTGACACAAGCAGACCCCCTTTCAAATATGCTGTCTAGAGGAATATTTTGGCAACCACAACTAGTCAAAGAAATGATAAAGATTTTAAAGAGAGACCCAGAACTTCAACTGATTGACTTGGGTGCTAACCTTGGAACCTGGACTCTTTCAGCAGCACGACTTGGACGAAAAGTTCTGGCGGCAGAAATGTTTCCTCCGACTGTCATCCGTTTATATAAAAGCATTCAACTGGGAAAGCTACAAGACTTAGTGACATTAGTTCCAAAGCCTTTGTCAGATACAAAAGAAAATGTTACTATTTATCTCTGTGGAAACAACAAAATGGGCACCAACATCGTCAAAAATGCTCAAGTGATGAGCAACTGTGGCTTGGCCTCCCCTTATGTTGCAAGTACAATAACTATGGATGACCTCACTGCCTATTTGCCAAATGGATTCAAAAAAGCTTTCATGAAAATAGACATTGAGGAGATGGAATTAAGGGTTTTCAACAGGTCAGAACATTTCCTGAAAACTGTGGATGTTCCTATTATTTTAATGGAATGGATGCACTACAGAAGGTCAATTCAGGAACCAAAATGCAGCTACTTTATATCCTACATGAGCCGCATGGGTTATATTCCCTTCAGACACCTGGCTGGACCAGATGGTAAGCTGGGTCCACTGCTGGAAGACAAACACTGGCTCCATATTACAGACCTGTACTTGATCAAGAAGACATACTTGAAATCAAATTTTGCACACCTTCAGTAAAAACTGAAAACACTACAGCTGAAGAATTTCATGCAAGTAATGTGATTCATTAGAGCACAGATGTGTTCAAGTTCAAAGAAAGCTAAAAGAAAGCACTGTTTAAACAGATCAGAGATTTTAGTTGTTTTTTTTTATTCTGGACTCAGGGATTCTCATTACTAATTAATATAAGCTTCTAACAATCAATAATTACAAAACAAAAATGAAGATAAGATAACTTTTACAATTTTCATTTAATCTTACTTTTACAATTTTCATTTAATCACTAAGAAAAATCTTTCTGACTTGGTCCCAACTTGATTCACATGTTTGCATTTCTAGGAATTATTCACAAATATTGTTTGTGGAAATATGGCTGGGTTTATTGAAATTTAAGTAATATGATAATCATTTACATAGAGGTAGGGATATTTTCATCATTATTATTTACTTAGGTCATACTTTTTTATTTTTATGGATGACATCCTGATTTCCGCCCGTTCTCCAAAAAAAAAAAAAAAAAAAAAAAAAAAAAATCCCCCGCCCCCCCAGCCCCCAACGAAGTCGGTTGTCGCAAACGTCATTATTGAATTTGCCAGGAAATGAGCTTTCTGCACATGTGTATTATCGCCACGTGGAAATGCGGCCGCTTTGCCGTCAAATTCATCTCTAGGATTACTTTCAAATTACACAACAATAGTCAATAAAAGTCATAAAGAGAACGGGCGCTGTCGTTTTGGACTGGTATGCCATTGATATTGGGCATGGAGATATCACCTTTTTACAATTGTGCGAAAGGCTGGTGGCGGCCAGCAATTATCGGCCGAAAAATTTCTGTGACATTCTGTACAAAGCAGCACATTAATACCAGGTTTTCTGGACCGAAAAAAGGTTCGACAAGGGTGTTGAGGTATTCGGTGGGCTGAAGGTCGGACAGTCCACCTGACAGTTTGGCTGCTTCGTGTGAGTTGAAGTAGACAAAATGGCATCGTCCGAAATGACCTTTAATAGATTTGGTAGTATTAAGCATATCTTTGCATCATTTTTTAAACATTTCTGTGAAGTGTTCAAAATGCCTTAATATTCTGAGAATACAAATCAAGACACACTGTTTGATTGATATTTGTTTTATTGATTGCTATACCAACTAAATGCATGACATAACCTTAAATAGATTTGGTAATATGAAGTATAGCTATTCATGACTTTTTTTTTTTTTTTTACATTTCTACGAAGTATTCACAATGCNTTTTTTTTTTTTTTTTTTTTTTATTTTGTTTTTTTTTTTTTTTTTTTTTTTTTTTTTGCCCTCTTCCCTCTTGCTCCGATTTTGGGGTACCCAGAGGATGTCATCCATAAAAATAAAAAAATGTGGCCTTACTGGGGTTTGTTCATTAATGTTTTAGCAAAGGTCAGTAGATTGGCCAATTTAAAGGTATATGTATGTTTTATCTTTTTATCTGAAGTAAATGTATAAATCATTTGAAGTGTTTTTTTTTATTTTTATTTCTTTTTTACTCTAAAGCATGAATGTGCTCATTTCTCATACTGTCGCAGACAGTTGTCTTCAATAAACATGTTAACATGTCCATGTGTTAGAACCTCATCCAAAACTTGAATGCCCCTTTGTTGAAAAAAAAAAACAAAGAAAATAAATAAATAAATAAATAAATAAATGAATAAATAAATAAGGAAGCAAAGCCATCAAGCAGATAGACTAAAATGACAGAGGCAAGCCAGCAGAATAGTCTCAAAATAAACCACCAATTTAACAATGAAAGTGCACAAAATATTTTTATCAATAATGATGCAATTTTACAGAACAATATATATATTTTATTATTATTTCTGAGGACACTTAGAAAAATGTAACTAGCAGGGTTTCAGGCACAAGTGAGTTCAAAGTCACAAGTGGAAAATGCTAACTGATGAAAAGAATCACAAAAATATCGCAAAAAAAAACTTCATCAAGGAAAATAATCTAATCCAATCCAATCAATTTTGAAATCAAGCTGTATTCTATGCAGTCTTCTATAGGTATGAAAATGTATTCTGGGCCTGTGAACAAGTCTTACAGGTATGAAAATAATAAATAACATGTCTTCCCTTTAACTGCAGCTGAGTTAAGGTGATTTGCATGCATAATATCCAGACTTAAAAGATTTCAATCTATCAAAACATACAGTGGAATGTTTAGATTATAATGATTGACAATAAATCCAAGTCCAACAGAATTTATTTCTTATTATACAAAAGTCAAGAAACTAAATACAATTCTAGGAAAGAAGAGATTATATGTCTCATGTTTTCAACTAAAAGATTTCAGTTCAAGAAATTATAAATGAAATACTTCTGCGAAACCTTCCATCCAAAAAGCCCACTGATGTCAATCTTGCAAATTTCTTTTTTCGCATCAAAGCTTTTAATATATGTATATCTAGTAAGGAATCTTAAATTATGTCAGAATCTTAATATCAGTATTCAAATCACACAGATAAAGTTTGATTTTAATCTCATAAGATAAAAAGAGTATCCTGGGCTTTGTTATAGTAAGATGGTGCAGGGGATCTCTCTGGTATACAGGGGACAGACTTGTTCTTTCAAACAAACTCGGCTTGAACTTCACACAGGTTTATTACCCTCTCTTAGAATAAATGTACAGAGGAGCCCTGCTCTAACTTCAACAACGCGAATTGTGGAAACCTGGCTCAAGAGCTAGCTCTGTTCTACTTTCAACAGAGCACTGTCAACCCTAAAATCTACTAGTTGGGGGGGGGGGGGGGATGACTAAGGACCTGCCTGGATCCTGTTGGCAAGGTTCCCTGTCACTCAGCATCATCTATTCATTTAATCTCAGAAGATCACATGTGTAATTTACATAATTACAACTCAAATGCAGATAAAAAGAAGCTATATAGTTTCTGAACAAAACTTGAACTGTTATCATACTAAAACCTAGCTTAGAACAGGCAGTTGCATAGCGCTACTACGAAGGTTTACGCATCTGTTTCTACAGCTAGATTGCCATTTATTACTGACATGGCGAGGAAGTATATAAAAGTGGCACTTATCGCTATCATTGTGGTGGATCTACTTTACTTAAAACACACAAAAATAAAAGGAGTTGCCATGAACAATCTCTATTCTGCAGAACCAATGACTAGAAGAATTTCTGCAATAACACAGCGGTTTCCGGCTATCATTTCTACCATGGTGAGTGAAAAGGAATGGGAAAAAATAGGTTGTGTCTCTCTCAAGGTGCATCCAAATATATCCACTCCTATTTGTATTTACAATATGACAGAAGGGGATCCCCTTTCAAATATGCTGTCTCGAGGAACACTTTGGCAACCACAGCTAGTCAAAGAAATGATAGAGATTTTAAAGAGAGACCCAGAACTCCAACTGATTGACTTGGGTGCTAACCTTGGAACCTGGACTCTTTCAGCAGCACGACTTGGACGAAAAGTACTGGCGGCAGAAATGTTTCCTCCGACTGTCATCCGTTTATATAAAAGCATTAAAATAGGAAACCTACTGGACCTAGTGACATTAGTTCCAAAGGCTTTGTCAGATATAAAAGAAAATGTTACCATTTATCTCTGTGGAAACAACAAGATGGGCACCAACATTGTCAAAAATGCTAAAGTGATGCGCAACTGTGGCTTGGCCTCCCCCTATGTTGCAAATACAATAACTATGGATGACCTCACTGCCTATTTGCCAAATGGACTCAAAAAAGCTTTCATGAAAATAGACATTGAGGAGATGGAATTAAGGGTTTTCAACAGATCAGAACATTTCCTGAAAACTGTGGACATTCCTATTATTTTAATGGAATGGATGCACTACAGAAGGTCGATTCAGGAACCAAAATGCAGCTACTTTATATCCTACATGAGCCGCATGGGTTATATTCCCTTCAGACACCTGGCTGGACCAGATGGTAAGCTGGGTCCACTGCTGGAAGACAAACACTGGCTTCAAGTAGGAGACCTGTACTTGATTAAGAAGACATACTTGGAATCAAATTTTGCACACCTTCAGTAAAAACTGAAAACAACAGCTGAAGAATTTTATGCAGAGTAATGTGATACATTAAAGCACAGATGTGTTCAAGTTTAAAAGAAGCTAAAAGATGGCATTTTTTTAATAGATGAGGTCAGAGATTTTATGTCAGTTTGTTTGCTGGACTAAATATTTAGAAGGATTTTGATTACAAAATTAAGATAAGCTTCCTAACC